TTGTTTTAGTAAGTTTCTTGGCTGAGATATTTCTCTTTCAGGCAACCAGAGAAGGTTGTGAGAGCCCATTTGTCTCACAGCACATACTTGTGGGCAGCTGAGAAAGGAACACGTATATCCGGGCCAGCTGGGCTATCACTAACATTTGTTCACCGGCTTCATCTGAGATGCCAGGCTAGAGGTGGGAGAAAAATGCTCTCGCCATCCTGCCAACAGAGAAAGCTGCAGCTCAGTGTCCTGACCCAAGGACACCGCGTCCTAAGAGGCCCGGGCTTCTCTGGTCCTCGATCACATTAGCCGTTTTTCCTTCCATGACACAAGCCTGGAACATCTCTAATCCTGATCGAATCCTGCAACAGCAGCTGGTTAGAGGAGAAGCTGAGGTGCCTGTGTTGTGCTTTCCAGAATAATAAAGATTTGTACATTGGAATCTAAGTGTCTTTGGATTTTTAGTGGTGACCAAAGTAGCACCAGTTCAATTTGTCAGTGGACATCAAAGAAATGTGATTAAAAAATCCTGCTGATCAGACCTGAGCACACAGGTGGGCATCTCCCTGTGGGGACACTCTGCGTGGGCCTGCTGTCACCCGAGGGATGGCTCTTCTAAACCCCTGGCCTCCTTGGACGGCCCGGCCTCTTCCCGGCAGGTGTGATCAGCGGAGTTCTCCCTTTAACTTAGCCGCAGTCTGCCCCACGGAGCCTCCTGCTCCTGAGGGTGCCGCCTAGGGCCCTAAAGCTTAGCCTTTCTCACCAACAACTTTCTGATCTCTGAAGACAGCCCACATATTCTGCCAAGACTTCTGTCAAAGCTGAATGTCCCCAGTCCCTTCCACTGCCCCTCCCGAAGTCTCGTTTGGGGCCAAGCCCTCTGAACATGCCCTCATTTACAAACCCCCTTTCAGAGTGCAGCCTTGAGGAGCTGGGCCTGTGGTTTCATCTTTCTTTCTTTCTTTTTTTTTAAAGGGCTGCGAGGCCAGGCTGAAATCCTTAAAGCTGGATTTCAGGGATGTCTGTGGCGCCCCAGGGAAGGCTGCCAGGTGTGATGATTCCTTTTTTGTTTGGCTTTGTTCAAGTCCCACCCCGGACTTTCCTCCAGTGCTGAGTCACTGCGTCATGTCCTGCCAAAGCCCTTTAGAAAGGACTTAGAGGTTCCCTCCGCCCTGTGATCCTCTGGGAAGCTGGTCCCCTGGGCAGAGAGCTCCCTTGCAACCTGCCCCCAAACTGGCCTCACACGTCCAGACAGGAGCCTGGAGAAAAGCAGCAGCCAAGGAGACGGCCCAGGAAACCTGGTTGTGTCCAACTATGTGCCCAGCAAGGGAATCCCAGAACCATGCAGTTCACCCATCACTCCCGATGGAGCAGAAGGGAGCGCTCCCCATCCCCCCAGGGAGGAAGCAGGAGGTCCCCCTCAGATTAGAGAGACACTCTCTCCTCCTGGGGTCACAGCTGGAGCACCGAGGGGCGTCACCTGGCCCCCTTCTGAGGTGGCTCCGCTCTAGCGGAGGGCCTTCTCCTGAGAAGGGACTGGCTAGGCGTCATTAGCTGGCTCCCCCGGCAGCTGGGGAAGGGGGCACCAGCTGGCAGAGGGACTTGGCCGGGACACTGGTAGCGTCCTCTGGACTCCAACTCATTTCTGCTGGAAAAAGCTTTGGGGAACTTCTGACAGACACGTTCCTGAGGCGCTTCTGCAGTTGCTCCTCAGGGCTCTTGTTTGTTTTGTTTTTACCACATCTGTGTTCTTGAAGGTAATTCGGGGTCTAGTCATTCTGATTTCAGCGAAGAGGGAAAATAAGAGGGTATCTACGCCCTGCTTGTAGCTCTATAATGAAAAATGCTGTTTTGTTTTGTTCTCTAACTCTCTAGAAGACGTTATGTGTTCATGCTCTCCCCCAGTAGCC